GAGACAATGCGTCAGCAGCAAGATTGGTGGGCCCAGGCTTGTAGATCACCTTGAATTGTAAGTCAATCAACTTAGTATACAGCTTCATTTGGCACGGCATCTGCAAATGCTGGTCGGTGATGTGCATGAGGCTCCTTTGATCTGTGAATATAACAAACTCGTCTTGTTGCAAATATGAGCGCCATTGGTCAACAGCAATGAGAATGGCCAAGTACTCTTTCTCATAAGTTGACAGTCCACGAGTGCGGGGACCAAGGGCCTTACTGACGAACGCGAGCGGATGACCGTCCTGGAGAAGTACTGCTCCCACTCCGCTGCCACTAGCATCCGTTTGTAACTGAAATGGTCGACTGAAATTGGGCAAGGCTAGTACAGGAGTGGTCACCAGAGCTTGTTTGAGAGCTTCGAAGGCAGTAGTATGAGCGGAAGTCCAGATGAATAGGGTGCCTTTCTTGAGTAAATCTGTCAAGGACGAGCTATGATAGCAAAATGCTGCACAAACTTTCGATAATATCCCGCAAGCCCTAGGAAACTACGAAGCTCTTTGACGTCCTTGGGTACTGGCCACGAAGACACAGCTTCAATTTTTCTTGGATCAGTCGAAACCCCTTGAGCGCTAACCACATGTCCCAGATACGCAATGGATTGCTGGACAAACTTGCACTTAGATAATTTCACCAACCACTGATCTTTAGACTTGAGCTCAAACACTTGGGCTAAATGTTGGAGGTGTTCTTCATAGGTGGAGCTGTAAATGAGGATGTCGTCAAAGAAAACCAGCACACATTTCCTGAGCAGAGAATGTAAGGTTGTGTTCATGGCACATTGGAAGGAGTTGGGAGCCCCAGTAAGACCGAACGCAATGACATTGAACTCAAATTGGCCCCAATGGGTCTGAAAGGCCGTCTTGTGCTCTTCACCGGGTGCAAGGCGGATTTGATTGAAGCCCGCACGTAGGTCAAGGCATGAAAACAACTTGGCGGAAGAGAGCTCATCCAACAAGTCATCAATAACAGGTATAGGGAATGTGCTTTTAACAGTGAGTGTATTGAGCGATTTTTTTTTAATTTTAACACTTTTTGATAACTAATTTTAAATCTAACACGGTCGTTTTTTATAAACTAACACTTTTGGTCACGCCTATTGCCTTGGCGTGGCCAAATGCCTGTGTCGCACCATGTATTGTGGCGCGGCAGCGGGCTGACGTGGCGACGACCGGAATGGGGACCGTTGACGTGGCAGGTCCTACCGCGCCACCGACCTTGGCGTGGCAGTGCCGCGCCCTGATCCATGGCGCGGCTGGACCGAATAAATACCGCGTGCGACCCGCTTCATTGGCCCTTCCCCTACCGCCCGCCCGCTTGGCCGCCCAGCGCCCGCCGCCCGGCCCCGCGCGGGCGCCAGCATACGCCGCCCCGGCCCGCCTCGCCCGCCCGCCACGCCACGCTCAGCCACTCCCCTTGGCAGCGCAAGCGCCAGCGCGGCCAACATCACTAACGCCGGCGTGTCAAGGCTGCCCGCTCCTAAGGTACCTCCATCTCGATTTCATTTTTTTATTATTATTGATTTAGGATAATTAGTGATTTATGATAGTTAGTAATTTAGGATAGTTAGGGTTTTATGATTGTTATTGATTTATGATAGTTAGTGATTTAGGATAGTTAGTGATTTAGGATAGTTAGGTTAGTGAATTTGTTTGTGATTTACGTAGGTAGTTTTTAGGTTTGAGGTTGTGTGTTCTAGTATAGTTAGGATTTTGGGTTTAGGGATTGATTATGTATTTATTATTTAGTTTATAGTTAGTTATTTAGTTAGGGATTTTGGGTATAGATACTATTTTACCCTGAACCTAAAAGGGTTTAGGGGTTTTAGGGATTGATTATGTATTTATTATCTAGTATAGTTAGGATTTTGGGTTTAGGGATTTAGGATAGTTAGGTTAGTGAATTTGTTTGTGATTTATTTGTGAACTTACTAATGTTAATTTGAATTTTGTTAATTTGAATACTTTAACGCTTTGTTTATCAATTTGTAACAGGATGACCCCTCCCACGCAGCACCTATTGTACCCCATTCTTGAGGTGGAGTACGACGACCAGCACCGAGCACACATCTTGAGTAACAACGACGCAGAGGTGGCCTTGCCTCCTTTGAGGCCCCACGCGCACAACAGGGGCACACCAGTGGAACGAGCGTTATGCGTCGTACATATGGCGTGCCGGCTTCCTCGAGCTTGTTTGTGTTGTCAACCACGATCTTCTGCCCCTTGACCCAGCACTACTTACTGCAGTTGTAGACAGGTGCGAGTGCATTCTTTGTACATAAACTTTCTTGTAACAAATTTGAGGCAACTAACAGTCGTTCTATTCTTATAACAGGACCCACACGTTCCACCTACCTTGTGGCGAGATGACCTTGACGTTGCAGGACATGAAGGCTATTTTAGGCCTTCGGTTGGGGGGACTTCCAGTGACAGGGATAGTTGACAACAATCACTGGAGGGAGCTGGTGGCTCAGTTTACTGGCTTTCTTCCACCGAACGACGAGGCTTCCAAGAAAAATAAGTGAGTAATTCAAGCCTATTTAATACTTGTATTGCTTTCCTGCAGCCATGGGGTCTCATTTTCTTTGGTCAATTTCAGGAAAAATTCTGGTGTTTCATCGTCTTAGATCACAGAGCGCTTTGATTACTTGGACCCACGGGCTGAGGAGACTCTGATCGACAGGTTCGCTCGAGTGTGGCTCTGGCACTTTCTTGGTGCTTTCCTCTTCCCAGACGCCTCGGGCAACACCATCAGCTGAATCTTCCTTGACATACTATGCCAGCCGTGGGAGAACATAGCGGCGTACAGCTGGGGCAGCGCAGTCCTGGCATGGACGTATCGACAGCTATGCGTTGCCTGCCGTCGCATCTTAGGACATGCGAACCTTGGGGTTGCTCCTACCTACTCCAGGTTTGGTGTTGGGAACGATGGCCCGTTAGGAGGCCCCTTAATAATGGTTTACCGGTAAGTACTTCGGTTCACTATATTCTTCGAGGCAGTTACATATGATGAGATTATTAATGGCTCATTCATTATCGTGTTCAATGCAGCAATAGAACGGGCAGGATACACTCCCTATAGCTCTATATATCTGCACGGAAGTAGAGTTAGTTAGAGGGAATGCGTGGCGCAAGTACAGGGAGTACACGGACGGTCTCGACGTCCTGACACAGCACCAGGTTACGTTCTCTTTACTATCATACCTGTGTCTTCTTTGATGTACACTATATCACAACCTAACTCAATTACAAAATTTCAAGTGCATTGATGTACTTGGGATTCTCCGGAGCTCCAGGACTATCTCGGTCCTGTCACTAGGGACGAGTCAAACGAGTATCATTGCGACGTCCCTCTTATTTTCTTCCATGTGGTCGAGATTCACTTGCCCAACCGGGTCTGCAGACAGTTTGAAAGAATGACAGGTTGCCCACCATCGCTTTACTCCACCAACCAACAATTACACGAGTGCGTTATCGATTAATAACAATGCTACAATTCAGAGGTGTGTGGTACAACTAATATCGTTTTGTTGCAGGTATGACCGCAGGAAGAGGTATAAGACCAAGGATTGACGCGTGACACACAACGCGCACATCCATTTGTGGCAGAACAGGGTACGATATCCGGTCCATGCGGGTCCTCCACACGACCAGCACACCTTCGACGAGTACCTGCGGTGGCTTCACAGGTCTACGAGGACACATATCAAGCCCACGTACACTGAGGAGGCGATTGACGAGGACTCGGAGGAAGATGTCATCGAAGATGTATACGACGTTACCACTAGGGAGGACACAGCTACAGAGAGCCCCGCTTCAAAGATACATGATAATATACTTGAATGGTACAATTTGTTATCCCTTTGGTATTAAGTATGTGTACTAAAACTGTCCAACCGCATTTCTGTACCCAGACGACACAATTGTCAAGACTGTCCAACGAAGCAGCGTTCCGGCTTTACGAGTCTAGAGGGCAGGGGCTAGGCGTTCTCGTGGTTTTTGTGGAGGTAAACATAAACTTGTCCGTTCCGAAAATGTTTCTTTAGTGTATATGCGTTTGGGTAATGCACTAACTTTAACGTCTATTTATGCGAGAAGGTGAAGAAGAGTCGGGAAGCTAGCTCGAAAGTGAGTGCATGGACACTCCTTATGAGGAACCGCCACTCTGGCCGCGGTCGGGTGGCACGTCTTCAGCCTCTTTGAGGACACCAGCCGGCTCTTTCCAGCCGATGACAGGTGCCACTTCCGCGGTGCGTACACCACCACATCATAGCGCTGGGAAGGACCCTGCAACCAAGGACGACGAGGACGACTATGATGACGACGAGGACCCCCGGGCTTCCGTAGGCAGCACGACCAGTGGGACGATTGGCCGCAGGACGAGATCGGCATGTCTTAGTTAGGTGGTGCCCCGCTTGGTACCCAAGGAGCCTCACAGGTACTATCAAAGATAGTTTCTTTAAAGACGTAGGCTCCATGAACTAACGAACATAAAGAATTATAAGTAATCGTACGTATCATATACTTGCAGGGTACGAGCCGTACGCACCGTCGACGCGACCATACCGACGTTAACTACACTCCCAATGTGTTGCCAACAAATCCGAAGAGACAGAGGCGTCCGAGGGATCCTTACACTCCTGGGTCTTAGTTTGTTAGGTCAAGCGAATATTGACGTCCGAAACTTGCGGGGTTATTTGGTTTTGTTATGTCAAACTTATGTCAAAACAATGAAAATGTTATGTGGCAGCTTGTCAACTTGCGCACGGACTTCATTTATTTGCTTCATATTTGTTTTTTTTGCGTCGCGGCAGCACTCCCGGCGAGATTAAGTACCAACTAGTTCGGGAACCGACAGTCCCAGCGTATCTCGACACCGGTGGTAATTTTTTGTAATCGATTAGTTAAAATGGTGGTTAACCGTATTATGAAAGACGGAAAATAAATCATTGGCTTATCAAATTCTCTATTCGGCCGTGAAAAAAATTCAGCAAATGATAGAAACAAAACTACTATTGATTTTACGTCAAGCAATATTTAGAATAACTCCCACTATCGGCGTAACGCGTTCCGATTAAACCGTCCAGGTACCAACGGGCGGGTGGCCGGGCTTACTGCTCGGGCAGGCGGGATTGGCCGCGGTATTGATTCGGCCCAGCCGCGCCACGGATCAGGGCGCGGCACTGCCGCGCCAAGATCGGTGGCGCGGCAGGACCTGCCACGTCAACGGTCCCCGAATCCGGTCGTCACCACGTCAGCCCGTTGCCGCGCCACTATGGCGCGGCACAGGCATTTGACCGCGCCTGGGCAATAGGCGCGGCCAAAAGTGTTAGTTTTCCCATGGCGCGGCCAAAAGTGTTTTTTTTTTAAAAAAAACCGACCGTATTAAATTTAAAATTAGTTATCAAAAAGTGTTAAATTAAAAAAAAATCCATTGAGCTGACGGCAGTCGTCACAAAATCACAAAATCTCCAGGATCGGTCTTTCTTGCACACCAAAAGTACCGGCGAAGAAAATGCACTTGTGCTGGGCCTGATGAAACCTGACTGCAGCATCTCGTTGACCTGTGACTCAATTTCTGACTTGAGTATTGGGGAGTAGCGATAGGGACGAGAAGCTACTGGCTGGGCACCCGACAACAATGGAATTGAACGGTCACAAGGTCGTCTTGGAGGTGACTCAGTTGGAGGCTGAAACAAGTGACTGTACTTTGTAAGCAGTTGCTGAACTTCGACAGGTATCACAGGTTCAGGCTCTGAATCATTCACTTGAAACACTTGGACCAGGGTGCATTCAGAAGGAATGGGTAGCTCTCCCTGCAGAACCACAGAACCATACTGAATCTGAATCCATTTCTGCACCCAATGAACTTTCATTGGGGAGAATGCCTGTAGCCAGTCCATGCCAATTATCATATCATAGCTGCCAATAGGAATCAGCTTGAGGGTGGAATGGAAAGTATATCCCTGAATAGACCATTCTGCATATTGAATTTGGGCCTCACATGCTACTGAACCACCATTGGCGACAGCTACCCGAGTTGGAGTGGGGAGGGGCTGCACACCTGAAAGAGATGCAGCCAGACGAACATCCAGAAAGGAATGTGTACTGCCAGAATCCACCAGAACACGGATTGATCGCCCCTGAATCAGCCCGGTGAACTGCAAAGTGCGAGGATGTATTGAGGGGGAAGAAGCATCAGCAGATAGCAGCAGAAATGCCAGATCAGTCACGGGCTCAGCTTCTTGTTCAGACAAACCATCATCCAAGAACATATCCTGGCACATCTCCCAAACTTCTTGAAGTGCATGAAGTTGAATAGCTGGAGCACATTTGTGGCCCTGATGCCACTTTTCGCCACATCGCATACAGAGGCCGCGTGCCTTGCGGTACGATCGCAGCGACTGCAGTTTCTCATCCACATTAGCACGACGATGATCTTGACGACGATCATCAGGCGGCCGTTTGTCATCTACCAGCGGTGGACCGACAGCAGGGCGCGGCGGTGGTGGAGGTAGAGGAAACGCGCCCCGCGTCTGGGCCGGCTTGGGAAACAGGGGCGCATCGGTCCGCTTGATCTCCTTGCGCCGATGCGGGTCCAGCGCCTCTTCCTGCAAAAGGGCAAGCGTACAAGCAGCATCCAAATCGGCAGGCCTCTGAACAAGAATGACAGAACGGATGTCATCTCGAAGACCATCCACGAATCGAGTGACATAGGACAAGGAATCTGGGTTGGGTGTATAGGCAGAGAGTTGTTCCACAAGGTTAACAAATTTGTCAATGTAATCTTGAACAGAGCCAGTCATTTTGATTTGGAAAAGCTGGCGGAGGAGAAGCTCGTGCTGATCCCTGCAGAAGCGCTCGCGGATCATAGCACATAGCGTGGTCCAATCGGTTTGTGGGATCTTCTGGTTAATAGATTGGAGCCAACGCTTGGCAGTGTTGGTGAAATTCATAGTGGCCACTCGCACCCACATGGAGGGATGAACAAAATACATGTCAAAATAGTTATGGGCTTGAGTAATCCACAACTGAGGTGTAGTATCGTCAAATTGGGGAAAATGCATCTTAGGCAGCTGGCCTTGAAGGTTGGGTGGAAGATGGGTTGTGGAGTCGGGAGGAACTGGGGGTGGAGGAGGGAAATTGGTGGTGTTCCGTTGGGGATTTGGGAGGGAAGGGGATTGGTGGGTTTCAGGCGACTGGGTAGGTTGGTGGCCGTAGGTGATGGGGGGTGGAGGATGAGGAGGTCAGGAGGATGTGGAGGAGGAGGAGGATGCGTGTTAACAGGAACGAATTGAGGAACAGCGGACGCACCATTGGCCGGGTTTGGAACTATGCGGAGGCGGAGAGCTGGAGTCCGAAGTGTTGTAGTGGAGAGTGGAATGTGGAGACGGACAGGTAGCTAGCTTCGTGGCTACAGCTGCAAGGTTTTTATAAGCTTTGTACTCTCTCTTCAAAGGATGGTCACAAATTTGACGATGTTTAAATGAGATAGAAATGAGATGATGCTTAATTTTCTAAAGATATGATTCTGACAAAAGAATTCTTTCACCTTGGCCTTATTTAGATTGTCTTCCAAATTTCAAGTTTTTTCACTCTCTCTCCATCACATCAATTTTTGGACGTATGTATGGAGCATTAAATGTAGATAAAAAAATAACTAATTACATAGTTTGGTTTTAAATCATGATATGGATTTTTGAGCCTAGTTAGTTCATAATTAGACAAAAGTTTATCAAATACAAACAAAACATACTACAATATTCGAGTTACAAAAAATTTACGATCTAAACAAGACCCTTGTCACCTTGATAGTAGCATCAGCTCCCCGCCATCAGTGCATGTACTACTAGTACACTACTCCGTACTACACTGCATCATCCTGGGCCCCGACTCTAGCGACCAAGGTTATTCCGCCATGAATGCAGGATCGTCAGGATCTTCCACCATCAGTGCATGTACTAGTAGTACGCGGCATCGTCAGGTTTGGTATCAGTGAGAGCTCGTTTAGTTTCTAAAAAGTTTCTCTAAAAAGTATTACGGTAGCTATTACATTAAATTTTGTGATGCGTGTATGGAGCATTAAATGTAGACGAAAAAAAAACTAATTACACAATTTGATTAGAAATTACGAGACGAATGTTTTGAGCCTAATTAGTCCATGATTAAACACTAATTGCCAAATAAAAACGAAAGCGCTACTGTAGCCAAATTCTCAAAATTCGTGAACTAAACACAACCTGATTGTTCAGAACCACCTCCTGTTGGCTGCTGGCCTGCTGCAACTGTCAGCTTGTGATCAAATTCAAACTGTATTTACATATATATGTTAATTATGCTTTATTGTATTTTTATTCAGAGGAGAGGATGATGCATAATATATATATATATATAACTCATATGCTAGAAGTATGTTTCGGTATTAGAAAGAGCACCACAAGACTGAGACCCCACAAGACTTTATATCAGAAACATATACAGCCTGTTCGTTTCAGCTGAATTGGCTTATAAGCCAATAGCTGAAAGTCTTCTTGGCTGGTTTAGTGTAAGAGAAAACATTGTTTAAGCCGTGGATTATAAGCCAGATACGAGCGAATAAGCCGAAACGAACAGGCTGATAGTTTGTAGCAGGTAAGGAGTACGAGGCACGTATTCATCACACGAAACTTCAAAGGAAAATGCTACTAAAAGGACATGTTGCAATGCTCGTGTTCAGTTTTGTATAAGTCGAAAGGAAATTTGGGAAGTGCAAAAGGTTGGACAGAGTTAACCCGCGACGGGTCACGCGCACAGGGAGTGCGCCACCCGTCTTCAACCTCTCGACGCACCTTGGTCCCCCACCCCCGCCTCCTCCCCCGTCGCCCCGGCCAGCAGCATCCGCGCAGCCGGCCGTGCCGCCCACCTCCCGCCCCTGCTGCTCCGTCCCGCCCTCCCTAACCCCAGGGCGCCGGCAAGCTCCATCGTCCTCGTCCTTGCCACAGCCCCGCCCCGCCCCCACCACCCTCGCCTTATCGCGCCACCCTCAACCCGCCCCGCCCCTCGGCCCCGCCGACCCTTATCCTAGGGTAGGGTGCCGGCAATCTCCACCGCGATGCCCCCGCCGTCGGCCCTGCCCAACCGGTTGTTCCCCGCCGCCCGCTCGGCAGTGCACCTACCACCTCGCTCGCCGCCCCTCAACCCGCCATCACCACCGTGTCACGGCCGCCTCCCCCAAAACTTCTTCTAAACCCTAACGCCGGCGAGCTGCTCGCCTCCATCGCTGGCGGCTAGTTCATGGGCTCAGATGGGATGAGGTCGCGCGCTCGGCACCACGCGTGACTAGACGCGCGTTAGAGTTTGTGCAAAAGGTTGTACACAATCACTATCTTGCTAGCCCAAATAAGACACAAATGGAGGTCACATTACAGTGGCGGACAAACGACTAATTTTGAGGAACAATTTAGAGAGCAATTTTCTTTCTCATGCAAATTATTAAAATCTGATGGGGCAATCAGGACCTACAAGGTGATGACGCCTAGCCGATTCAACGATGAAGCAATAATTGTAGGATATGACCATAACATGTTTTTGCGGGAAATATGAATGCATCAGTACGTATGTGATTTCAAATTAATATCACTTCTCTGTATATATTAGAGCAAGTATAATAGCAGGTTGTCGTCGTCTGAATGCTGAGGGTGGAGGAGAGGGGAAAGGATAGAGAAGATAAACGGGCCGTAAGCTTACAGAAGTGAGCCATGTATTAATAGTGAAGAGCTAACTACTATATAGGTGGACTAAGGAAAAGCTACAAAGATCCTTACGGTCGGTAGGCCGGCTGTATAATTAGCCTTGCTATTGGTATTACTTCTCTGTACATATTAGTCAAACTTTGTGTACGTACGCCGCAGATATATTGTGCAAGCATGCTCTCAGAGCCCTTAATATCAATAAAGTTTTTTATTTTGCCTAGCCAATACATACTGAATAGATGGACGAAATATGCAAAAAGAGGATTCTATGAAACTTCAAGAGCACAAGCTACGGATCTCTCGAAATGCGATGTCGATTGCATTGAAGTGCTCATTTTCAAAAGATCTTCTTGATGATTTGGAGAGAGCTATTGATAAACTGGGCCAAGAAGCTGATAATTCATTAAGCCAAAGACCTACCCAACCTTCTGGAGTTTCTCACAGTTGTATTGAATATGCTGGAGACATGTTAAAAGGTAAAATATCAACCAGAGTCCTCAGGTGCTAACAGGTCCAAAGAATAAGAGATCAAAAAGTGTACTTGAAAAAAAGAAAGGGAAGAAAAAGGCCACCGGTAAGAAAAAAGGTACTTGCATTAGTTCAAGCGTGCATTTATCCCCTGTTTTTTAAATCTCAGGAAAACAAGCAAAGAGAGCAAAAGACAATACAGAACTTGGACAAGATCCAGAAGAATCGATTGTGAGTGCACAAGACAATACATAACTTGGACAAGATCCAGAAGAATTCATTGTAAGACCAATGGCCCTATTTTTAAAAGATTTATTTACAAGACTATGTTCTGAATTTTTTTCCCCACACAGGGTCCTTCCCATGCAAGCACTGGTGTGAATATTGCACCACAGGACTATTTAACCAACCCATATGGTGGATTTCCGACCATGGCTGCTCATCCAACAAAAGGAGGATATACAAGTCTTTAATTTACTTGGTCTTCATCAAGATGCTTCTGCTGCTAGAAGATTACAATTTGATGACGTATCAAATCCTGCAGCATTAGATTAGTCATGCTTTTATCAAATGATTTCTTATTGATCAACAAAAAAGTATTACTGTTCCAGTGATGTATTATCAAATGTTAAACTATTTTGTCCTTAATTCATACAAGTGATCTTTCATTTGCGATCCATGCTCTCCAGTGACATCAACACATATTTATTTGATAGCAACAATATGTTCAGAGACAATAGTGGGATAGGAACCCTGGCTCAGAGAAGGAAGGAATTCCGTACATAAATAAGAAGAAAATGTAAAAGCCCTGTACAATACATCGTCCTATTTCTAGCCCTGTACAACACGATCAAAATCAGTCAATGTGTCAAAATCTGACACATGTGTAGGCTGCTTTTGTTTCCAGCTTGCTACTTCTAGCAGTATTTGGAGAAACATCCTTTTTTTGTATTTCCCTGAATGAACAGGTAAAATGTTACTGCAGTTGAGCTCTGAACTTGTGATTGCCTCAAAAGAAAATATGCCTCAAACTACATTTTTTTTTTGAACTGGGGGTTTTCATTACTTATCAGCTGACAAATCCGCAGCTACGATTACAGCAATGTGCTCAGGAATAGAACTAGATATTAGCTCATTTCCTTCTACACAATCATACCCCAAAGAAGCCAACTCATGGGCCACCCTATTACAATCTCTACCCTGGAACACACACTCGAAATGAATAAAGTTTGTAGAAACTAAAAACTTGAGTTCATTCACCAGACCTTCCTCCGGTCTATCACAAACTTCAGTTGAAGCCAGAGCTTGTTTGATCAGCAGGGCATCGGTCTCCAGTATCAGCTTACCAATGCCAAGGTTCAGTGCAGTCTGAATTCCTTGTAAACACGCGATCACCTCGGCTTGGAAGGGACTTAGGAGATGATTGATCCTTCCTCTACCAGTCATCACTACATCACCGTCGTTGTCCCTGATAACAAATCCCCAGCTTCCCGACCTCTCTGCAGCCTTGTATGAAGCATCACAGTTCAGTTTCAGCACCCCAGCTGGCGGCCTGTGCCACTTGTCTGTCCGGCTCTCTCTAGCTTGGCCTTGACGAGTGGATTCCCTGATTATCTCCTCTAAATAAATTCTAATGCTTCTTACCAGAATTTCGGCGCAAACCACATCAGAATCACCACTCTCACCGGTTTGCTGCCCTTCAGCTGTAGTATAATCGAAGTCACATCCCATGGGTAAAGCAAAGGGGCTAAGGTGTCCCGTTCATGCTCCAGACAGAG